CTATATAGCGAGACCCTGTCTCAAAAACACCAAAGAGGGAGGGGAAAAAAAAGTTTCCAGTTTTGCTGCATTAGAAACAGTTCTGTTATGAACAATGATTTACCTGACCCATGGTGCTCAGGGCCAAGGCTTCCTTGAGGACTCCATAAGCTAGTAGGGCAATCCCTGGGCCACCAGATGTGAGCATTTTGTATTTTTCTGAACACACCATGCTGTTTTGCTGAGCCATGTACCACTATCTTCAGCAACCAGTAGTGTGAGTTCCAGGCCTCAACTTCTCTAACCACAGTGTGGTACACAGACTTCAGATGGCTGAAGGTTGACCATGCTGATGGGCGTGCAGTGGTTTTCATTTTTCTTTTTTTTTTTTTTTTTTTGAGACAGGGTCTCACTATGTAGTTCAGATTGGTCTTGAACTCACTATGTATCCCACGCTGGCCTCAAACTCTCAGTGGTTCTCCTGCCTCAGCCTCCCCAGTGCTAGGATCACAGGGGTACACCACCATGCCTACCTGTCTGTGTTGGTTTGATTGATCAGATTTGTAAGAACCCACTCTGTCCTTTTCCCTTTACTTTGCAAATGGATCTCAAATGCACAATAAGGTGCTCACCTTCAATTATTTTTTTCCCAGCTGAAAACAATCTTTTTTTAAAGCAAAACATTGACCCAGGGATTTAGCTCAGTGGTGCCACTACCTGCCTCCCAAGCGCAAGGGCCTGAGTTTGATCCCCAGTACCAAAGAAAAAAAAAGCAAAATATTTATTGGTACATTTTAGATATATATAATGATAACATTCATCATACAGAATTTGTACCTGCACATGACACATCCCACTTCTTGGGGTTTTTTTCCATTTCACCTTCAACGATGAAGAAATGACAAAATCACAACAGCACCACTTTTGTCACTATTAGATTGGCTAAAGCCCAAGAGGTTTGATAACCCTGCATTGGTATCATGTGAAGAATGCAGAGTGGTCACCATGGATGGGAATAGAAACAGTGAATGTCTACGGAGAGAGTTTGGCATCTCTAATACACTCTTCACTCATATACAGAGAGGCTGAGGCAGGAGGATCTCCATGAGTTCAGATCCAGCCTGAACTACATTGAGACCGTGCCTCATAAAAACAAATAAACAAAAAAAGAAAGCAAAACAAATAAATGCATGTATGGTATGTCTCAACCATTTCATTTCTCGGAATTTATCCTTGGGATATACTCATGGACGTATCAGATGACAAGTTCTAGATCATTCAGAGTGACACTGTAACAGCCAAAAACCCTAGCAACTAAGGATTGGTTAGACATTTTATGCTATATGTATCTTTTTTATTTTATGTGAAAATAAAACAAAATTTCATAATAAAATAATAAGAGAATAAGAATAGTTAATACACTGTATCATTATCTTCAAAGTAGTTGCTGGAGTACAAGTCAAAGACATACAAGATTCATTCTTACATAAAAGAAATAGAGGGCCGGGGATTTGGCTCAGTGGCACTGTGCCTGCCTCACAAGCACAAGGTCCTGTGTTCGATCTCTAGTACCAAAAAAAAAACCATAATAGCACAAAACTGTTTTTTCAATGAACTAAGCAAAATTAATAGTATAAATGAGCTGAAGTAAGCTACACATTAAAATACTTCTGAAGTAGCAGAGTAGGTAATTAAGGGAATTATTTGAACCTCTCCCTACTTCCTATTTATCTGTCTTCTAATTTGTTCTTTTATACTGGGAATTGAACCCAGGACTTTTTGCATGCTAAGTATGTGCTCCAGTGCTGAACTACATCCCCACACCTTTTTTATTTTGACAAGCTGCTAAATTGCCTAGCCTGCACTCAAACTTGATATCACCTGCCTCAGCCTCTCAGAGTGATGAGATTACAAGTGTGTAGCACCATGCTTGGCTGCAGTTTTTTATTTTTTATTTTTTTGGCTACAGAGGGTTTTTGTTTTGTTTTGTTTTCACTTTTTTTGTGTGTGTGTGTGTGCCGGGGATCGAACTCGGGACCTTGGGCTTGTGAGGCAGGCGGCGGAACCACTGAACTAAATCCCCGGGCCTGTTTTGTTTTGTTTTGTTTTTGTGGTACCGGGGATCAAACTTGGGACCTTGTGCTTGTGAGGCAGGCGGCGGCACCACTGAGCTAAATTGCAGATTGCAGAGTTCTTTTAAAAAGCAATTTTATAAGCCAGGCGTGGTGGAACATACCTGTAAGCCCAGCACTCGGGAGGCTGAGTAAGGAGGATTGCTGTGAGTTCAAAGCCACCCTGGGCTACATAGAGTTCAAGGCTACCCTGAACTGCACAGTGAGACCCTGTCTCAAAAAACAAAAATCAAACAAACAAAAAGCAGTTTTATATAAGCTAAAAAGAAATCTCTGTGACACGTGGTAAGCTAGGCATGGTGGCACACACCTGCTATCCCAGTGCTCAGGAGCCTGAGGTGAGAGAATTGCCTCAAATTCAAGCCCAGCCTGGACTATACAGTGAGATCTTTTTGATCCCACCACTCCAGAGACTTAGGCAGGAGGATCCCCATGAATTGGAGGCCAGCCTGTGTTGCATAGTGAGTTCAAGGCAAGACTGAACTACACAGGGAGACCTTGTTTCAAGAAAACCAAACAGGGGCTACCCACTTGGGACCCCTCCTGCCCCTCAGGAGCTTTCCTATCAATAAATATCTTCCCACTTTTAACCTCCGTCACTCCTAGGACTCATTCTTTGATTTCTAGAGAACAAGAACTCAGCATATCATATAGTTAACAGGTTGGGAGATATAACATTTCATATTTCCTGTGACATTATTGGAGGTCCCACCAAGCTAATAATTAATAGGAGGTAAGAATTACTTTTATTGATTGCTCAATTACAATAAGTAACCAAAATTGTCATTCTTGTTTGTCACTGCTTGTGCCTCTTGTAAATGCTTTGTACTTTGAGTTCATATACATTGTCGTTTTGTTAAAATGATGATGTATCTTTAAAAGGACATTTTACTTTTGTAGACAAGGTTTTATGTTTCTGTTTTATAT